TTTTCCCCCAGCTAAGCACACTGACCAGCCCCAGGCCATTCCTCCCCACCCCTCAAGAACCGCTGCAGTCAGGACCTGGGCTGGGCACGCAGTGAGTAGCATCCAGCCTCCCAAGTGCTGTGGGGCTGCACGTTACCCACTGCTGTGCCTGGCACAGCTCCCTCGTGCAGCGTTTCTTCCCCACCCTCTCCCCTCCAGCCTTGGCTGACCTTCATCTCCTGGGCCTCCAGCACCTTCTTGCCATCCCAGGCCCAGCTGCGCTTGGTGAAGTAGTTGACGGTGGCGAACTCGATCAGCGCAGAAAACACAAAGGCATAACAGACGGCTATGAACCAGTCCATGGCCGTCGCGTACGCCACTTTGGGTAACGAGTTTCTGGCGCTGATGCTTAGTGTGGTCATGGTGAGCACCGTGGTGACACCTGTGGGGACACAGCAGGACGCAGGGATGCCGTGAGATCCTGCACTCATAGTGGTTTCTCTCAAAACAGCTGCCACTCCTGTCATGTAAAAGTAGGAGCCAGCTCCTGAGCCACATTGCTGCTGTAATTCAGGGAGTCCTACCCAGAGCCAGGCATCTACATCTACATCTATATCTATACCTATCATCTATATATCTATCATCTGTATCTATATCTATATATCTATATCTATATTATCTATATCTATATCTATCATCTGTATCTATATCTATATATCTATATCTATATTACCTATATATCTATATCTATCACCTGTATCTATATCTATATATCTATATCTATATTATCTATATCTATATCTATATCTATATCTATATCTATATCTATATCTCTATATCTATATCTCTATATCTATATATATCTATAGCTATAGCTATATCTATCTATATCTACATCTACATCTATATCTACATCTATATCTATATATCTCTATTTATATATCTATCTCTATCTCTATCTATCTATATCTATATCTACTCATGGGATAACAGAACAGGCCAGGATGGCAGGAGGTCAGGTTCACAGAATCATAAAATCACAGGATGGCCTGGGCTGGAAAGGACCTTAGAGACCATCTGGTTCCACCTCCTGCCACAAGCAGGGACACTTCTCACTATCCCAGGCTGCTCAAAATTGCCTCCAGCCTGGCTTCAAACACTTCCAGGCACGGGGCAGCAGTTTGTCCAGCCCCTACTCAAATCAGGGCCAACTTCAGGTTGCTCAGGGAATTATTCTGGTTCAGTTTTGAGTAGAATCAATGGCAGACATCTTCATTAGGATGAGATTAACTGTCCCCAAACTCCAGTGACTAGATCTCTGCTCTCCATAGGAGTCCTCACTCACAGGAAGGCACCTGCACCACACTCCTCATCTGTTGGCAGGGTGAGGTGCATGATGCTACACCCAGTTCATGTAGAATATATCATGGAGAAGCCTCCAGTTGCTTTTGGAACAAAATAAAAATAATAGCAGTGAAAAGGACAGCTAGATGGTTGTGAGCCTCAGAGAGGATCAGAAACTGGCCACTCATCTGACACAGCTCTCTCAGGGTTTTAGAAATAGTGTCCTGTGACCTGCATGGATGGACACCTGGGATCCTGGGTCCTGCTGTCAGTGGCCCAAGCTGCCAGGATAAATGTCACAATGATTTATCTTAAACAAATGATCTGTTGCAAAATGTCTTTTAAAGCTTTTTTCATTAAAGCAAGCAACCATTACCATCCATTTTCCCCAATAATGTGCTTTTCAATTAAAAATGCATTAAAAACATTATAAAAATATTGACTAATTTTCAGTTCCCTAAAGCCATACTCCTGGTAATTTAAGAGTTTCAATTCAATATTGTTGACAATACTTTCTGAGGGGCAGAAAAAAAAAAGACTAAACAATTGGAGTTCTCATTATTTTCTTAATAGGAAGGCAAGGCAATTTGGGAGCAAAGACATTTGTCACACAGGTAGGTTTTAATTTTTCAGTCAGCTCTTGCCTGCTGGATCTGAGCTGCTGCTTGAGGAAACTTATTTCACTGCAATTCTCAGGATAACACAGGAGGGAATCACATAGGACACCACATATCCCCTCTCTACTTGGGGACTTTTGTCCAATATCCTCTCTGTTAAGTGGAATCTGCTGGGCAGTGTTACCTCCAGGATATACAATCCTGCAGCATCACACCTGCTCTGGGAGCATGCCTGTGTAGATCCTGAACTAAAGGTCTTGACAGGAAAGCACAAAGCAATTCTGTTATTAAATGCTTGTAAAAGCTATTAATATATGTGCAGTGCCAGCCTGGCACTTTGCTTCGGTGAGAGGATCTGAAAGCAGCTGAAGGAAATAATAACACTATATTCACCATGCAGTTATGCTGCCTCAGGAACTTGTTATGTGGAGCTGTGACCAGGGGCACGTTAGCAATTTCAAAGGTAGGGTTTTAAATGCCTCCCTGTGTACCTAGCCTCTGCTCAGCTCTAAAGCCAACACAGATAAGCAGACACAGCCAAATGCATATAATTAGATGATCAATACCTTGATTACTGTTAATATTTATGGCTTGGCTTGCAGCAGAGACATGGCCAGGAGTATTTTTGCAGTGATTTGAGGGGGAGCAGACTCACTGGGAAGACACTGAGAGCTGTCCTGGGGAATGGCCAGCAGCTTAGAAATGCTGGTCAGGACCTGGCAAAGACCAGCTCTGATGCTCAGTGTGTTTCCCTTCCTATTTCCCTTCATCCCCAGCCTGAGAGGATGCGCCAGACTCACCAAAAACCGTGCGGGCAGGGACAGACTCCCTGTTGAGCCAGAAGGACACCTGGGACAGGATGACAGTCATGATGCAGGGCAGGTAGGTCTGGATCACAAAGTACCCGATCTTCCTCTTGAGGTGGAAGTGTGTGGTCATGACGACGTATTCCCCTGCAGAGACAGCCAGGGAGGGATGCTGAGCCTCGGAGCTTCCCAGCCTGGGGCCAGCTGGCTGCTCTGGAGATCCACCCTGAACAAACTCCCCGGTTTCTCAGTGGGATTTCAGTGGGATTTCAGTGGGATTTCATGGGAAGGAGGGGTGCAGGGGTGCAGCAGGCACTCACAGCTGCTGTGCCATGTTGGGTGTGTGCCCCAGCACAGCCCAGGGGGCTTTCACATCACATCTGTCTTTTCAAAACACTTCTCTGAGTTTTAATTCACTACAAAATGGGTGTGGGGCAAAGGCAAAGCAGTGTCAACAACTGAGCAATAAAATCTTCTGCTGTTTTGCCCCAGGCAAAAGGGGCCTCTGTGGGTCTCTCCTGACTCTGCTCCCATCCCAGGGAGCCACGCTGTAGGTAAGATCCTTTAAGCCTGGAGACACCTTAACAGTGCTTTAATAGGATTTCAGGACACAGGATTTTATTTTCTCTGACAATCCTGAAAATATCTCACCTTCCCTCACTGTAACCATCTCAGGAAACAAGGCAAGTTCTGCTGGTGTTGTCTCACCTGTGGACTGAAGAGGCAGCTGTCCCCATTTTCCCTCAGCATCCTATTCCTCCCCCCAAAGCTTCGGGTATTTTGTTGGATTACTGTGTCTTTATGTTGTGAGCGTGGCTCTGCTAAATCATTACACACAGGAGCCCTCAGCAGCTTTCTTACCACTCCAGGTTATTCATCTGTACATTTTACTACAACTTAAGTAGAGAGATGGGCCAGATATTATGACATTTAGTTCCCTGGGCTCCCCACATTTCCCCAAGGGAGGTGAAATGAGTTGTTACAGACAGACACTATTAAAATCAAGTGCACCAGAGAGGAAATATCCTCAAATGAGAGAACTACTGGTGCATACAGAGGGAAAAAATAAAAGGAAAAAAAAGAAATATGAGAGACACACATGAGATAACAGAAGCTATCAGTACCTGGATTCAGAGGGGAAGGGAGGAGCAGCAGATGGGAGAGAAAGATGATTAATATTGGTCATTAATCAGAGGAAACATTTGTTTGGGATAATCTTCTATTAGTTATGATAATATTTGTGCAAGCAGATGCAGTGAAAATCACACTGAACATTATGTTGCCTTCGCCTCCCCTGCCTGCAGTGCTTTCCTGAGGGCTTGGAAAGGAATCCAAGACAAATGAACCCACAGCACCACAAACCAGCTGGACAACGCAGGGCAAATTTTCCACACAGCAGATCATTTGGAGATGCTTGAGATCAGTTCTCTTAAAGACTGTGGGCAATAAGGCTCTTTCAGTGGAAACCACTGAAAATCAAACTCTTTTCTGCCTCTTGGCGACTGCTGAAGACATCACCAGCCATATCCTCCTGGCTTAGGAGGTGCTGTGGTCCTGGGCTGCCTCAACAATTATTCCCAATCATGGCATTCCAAGCCCAGGAGTCCATCTCATCCCTGGAGCAGCTCAGCCCACATGCTGGTCCCACAAATACCTGTGCTGGATCGAACCATCTCTGTCCCAACCACATGGCCCAGCAGGTCATACTGGTTCAGGCGAGATCCACCCTTGGCTACTTCCACGGATTTATCCTTCCCCAGGGTCCAGGTGTAGATCACCTCTGTCTTTGTGTAGGCATCTGCAGAGAAGGGAGAAGAACGAGATCTGTGCTTCTGCCCGACCTAAAATATACCAAAATTAGCCTGTAGCCAAATTAATCTTTGCTGTGCATCTCTCAGAGCCACATGGCTGAGCACAGCCAAGCATGGCCAGGGACCAAGGCAGATCAACAACTGTTAAATCAAATGAGCAGGAGCGAGCTGGGGTTTTTGGAAGGGAGCTGGAGAGGGGCAGAGCTCTGTCATTGAGAGAAAGGCTGTCCCTGTGACATGCTGACTCTGCAAGGGCTGGCTCCAAGCAGGGACAACACAGGAAAGCATCCAAGCCAGCAGGATGCTGGGGCAGCAGGACAGCCACAGCCATGCCAGGGACAGGGAAAGTCCTGCTGGCAGCAGCTGGCAACAAAGGCTGAATGCAAACGGGGCTAAATTTTAGGTTAAAAAGTTAAAAGTCTTTACCTTCACTCAAAACCCTCTCCAAGACTCTCAGATTTGGAGGTGGTGTCCTCTCACACCTAAATGCTTTTTCCCTGGGTTTGTGACTGAGCCCTGCTCTGTTCTCACAGCCAGTTCCTCTCTCAAGAGTGCTCTTGGTTTTTCCAGTCCTATGGTTATCTAAAAATTGAGTCTCTCCAGACTCTGCTAGGAGCTATTTCTCCCCATAATGCCCAAAATTCCTGTCTATACCAATTTTGCACCAGCTTTTTAAGCAAGAACAAAGTTCACTAAACCAAACCTTCAGTTCATTCCTACTCACCACCTTCTCCTGGTGAAGACCTGAAGGAATTCTTTGGCTGGGGTCAGGTCAAGAAATGTGTCAGGTCTACCAGAGAAAAGCTCCTGCTTTGTGGAAGATTGTGTCCTGAGGAAACCCCATTTCTGTGATCTTCCTAAAACAACCACTGTTCTGCCTGCACTGTGGGTTTTGGCAAACCTGTTCAGAGTTAAGCAGAGGCTGTGCAAAGCGCTGGGAGGGGTTTTGATGATCAGCCAATGTCTCTCAGCAGGTCAGAGTGCTGTCAAAGCTCTTCTGACGCAGACTGGCACCTCACACCTCATGTTGGAAAACACAGTCATGGGGTGTTTTCCAATCCCAGTCTCCAATGGAGGATTTGTCAACCCCTCCTTCCAGCCCTGCACATGCTTCTGGAGCCCTCCACCCTCCTTCAGAGCTTTGTAAAGCTCTGCCACTGCTCTTTCACCTGATACTCTACAGTCACAGTCCAGCCACTGCCACTCTCAGCCTACAAAAAGAACTTGCCCACAGTTTCATTGCCCTCATTCCTGATAATTCAGTTGTCTGTGTAGCTGGTTGTCTGGGACAGAAGGGTATTTGATGTCACACAGGCATGGCATGGATGCTTGGAACATGTTTAATGCCAGGCAGCTGCTTTGGTTCTGCTCAATGCCTCGTTTGCAATGCAAAATCCAATCCAAACAGGGACAGCTCGTGGACATTTAGAGGAGCTGGTAAATTCAGCAACATCTTTTGCTCCCCTGGTCTCAGACAGCTGCAGTACAAATGTCCTGTGATGGCCTTAGGAACAGCTCTCTGCAGTGCACATTCATCTTCCAGGGAGCAGGGGGATAGGCAAAGCCTATCCCTTCACTGCCCTTGGCCCAAGGGATGATGCAGGTGGGCAGCTGAAGCTCTCTGGAATGCCTAAATTGTCCTTAATTCCCCTGCAAATTCTCTGCCTTGCCCCCTGGTGGGGCTTCCGCGGTGGCCCAGGGACAGGAGGCCACTGCTGAGCCACTTGTGGGGATCAGCAGAAAATGGTCTGTGAGGCAAACTCAGCATCCTGTGAGCAGCATGGGTCTGGCACAGGCATTGTCCTTCTAATTGCAAATCTGACCCACTTCAGGCTTCTTGAAAATGAGCAGCTTCCAGCTGTCAGTGGCTTTTTAGTGAAAACACTGGTTTAATCCCACTCCAACACAGGAGAGGTGAGCTCAGATGCTGTGCCGGTGCTTTAGAAAAAGTCACATTAATGTTAACCAGGGGCAGCTTTCTGAGCTCCTTGTCTCAAAACTCTCATCATTCAGAGGTCAAATCAGTAAAAAAAAAATAACCCCAAAGGGTGTTCAGCAGAAATACACACATTAATCTCTTTTCCTCACCAAGAAACATTATAAGCAATTAGATGTGGAGTAATCTGCCTTCCTGCAAGTCTTGTAATAATCCCAGAGTTTGGGCCTGAGGTATGAGATTTGATATCCCTCCTCACAAGGTCAATTAACATTAATAATTCATCCTTCTCTAAGGCTTGCTATTTTACTGGCCTTAGTGATGTCTTGTGGCAATGAGTTCTACATTTAATTAGGTGCTGCCTAAGAAATAGCTTTATTTTAGTAGTTCTGAATAATCCACTTTCATGGGTACACTTTGTCATGAGGCAGAAGAGCAGATGCACATGATAAATACGATTTCCTCTCCTGCCAATCAAACTTTTCAACTTTGTCCTCAGTTAGCTCCCAAAGGGCTACAGGGAGTGTCAGTTTGGGAAGGTTGGGGTTTCTCTGGGGGTTACTGCTGTGGGCTCATTCTTTAGCTGGAGGTGGGAAACTCTCTCATCTAACACAAATATAGACTAAAAGTGGTGACCAGTTCGCTGGACTTGGGAAAGAATCTAGGCTAGGATGTTATTTTCACATCATGGTGAGCCGGGGTCTTGGGGTTTGGCTCCCGCTCACTTTAGGAACAAAACCAAATGAAATTTAACTTGCATATGGGAAAGATAAGGGACCTTCTATGGGGAGCCCAAGCAGCTGAGCAGCTGCAAGTCTGGGAGGCTGTGAGCAGCTTTCAACTCACCTGCAAATCTTCCCTAAACCAGGACCCTTGGCTGCTGGGACTGAGATTCCCAGAGTTTCCAAGCCTTTCACCTGGGAGCAGCCTGCCTGACAGACTGAAGAGTGTCAAGGGGTTTGGGAGCTCCTGTGGAGTGTGGAGCCGGAGGAACCAGCCATTTCAGGCTCTCCACAGACAGGCAGGATGGGACACCCAGCAGGAGCCACCACCACTGTCCCAAATCTGTCTTCCCAGCATCCCCTTGTGATGAAGAGAAAGCACAGTTCAGATTTATAATCACAGAATCATTAACGTTAGAAAAGCCCTCTAAGATTATCAAGCCCAACCATTAACAGAGCACTGCCAAGCCCATGTCTCCAAGTGCCCAAAATGCACATTTTTGGAACACTTTGAGGGATAGTGACTCCACTTCCCTGAGCTGCTTGTTCCAATGCTTGAAGTGAAGATGTTTTTCCTAATATCCAATCTAAACGCCCCTTGAGGTCATTTCCTCTCATCCTGTCACTTGTTACTTGGGAGAAGAGACTGATTCCTACCTGGCTACTTTCTAAATAAATTTACAGCAAAACCACGTGTGTCTAACCCATCCTGTAAGCCTGAATTGAGCACAGAGTCACTTGGTGATGGTAGGAATTGGATGTATGAGGAAAAAAAAAATAAATTTTGGTCACTTTACCATTAGCAAAAATGAATATTGCTGTTACTAAAACACTATGTGACACCATCCACACCCAGGACTGCTCTTCAGCTCTGTTCCACCTCCTTGCAGGGGCTGCTGGGGGTACTTACAGCTCCCAAATTTCAGGGGGCAGGCGTGCACGTCCATTGGGAAGTCCTCCAGGTGCATGGGGCACTCGGCGTGGATGGTCAGCCTGCAGGACAGAGCACAGGGGCTGCTCAGGGACAGGCCTGGCCCTTCTGCCACAGCCTCCTGCAGCCACCAGCGGTGGCAAAGGCCTCGAGGTGCTCACCAGCCTCGGGGTCTCTGGGCAGAAGGCCCCCAGCTGTGGAGAGGACAGAAGGACACACATCTGGTGGCCTTTTCCACGGTGGAAACTCAACCCTATTGCCCGAGTCCATCTTCACCCACTCTCACAAAATCTGCCAGCGCCCAGGACTCCTGTTTGCTGTGAGCAGAGCTCCTGGGGCCAGGGGACACCTCATGGCCCATGCTGGAAGGCAGAGGGGAATGGATTCAGGGCTTCAGGGAGCAGGGCTGGTGGTGTGGCAGGAGCTGAGGGCTGGATTGCCCAAAGTCAGCCAGATCCATGAAACCACCAGGACACAGCAGCCCCTGTCCATGTGGGACATCTCATCCCACCTCCCCTGGCTCCTCCCTCGCCGGCAGCACTGCGGAGGATGCTGCAGGCAGGTGAAGAACTGGAACATCCTGGGGCTGCCTGGGGGCGTGCAGGACAAGCTGTGCCTTCCAAATCCCCCAAATCCCGGTAGGATACCTTGTCAGGAAGCAGCTTTGTGAGGGAGGAACAGCCATAAAAGCAGTGTGCTGCAGAATATGGTATAAAAGGATCCATTATAAAGGGCTCTAAAAAAGGGAGCTCGTGTTCCTTCCTGGAGTACTGCAAAGCGTGCAGCCAGGGAGAGACAACCTCCCAGGAGATGGCTGAAACAATCTTCTCTGAAAAGAACTATTTGTAGGGGAAATAAAAAAAAAGGACTCACTTCTGATGCCTCAGCAAAACAGCAAACAAAGCATGGCAGGAGCAACATGTGGATGCAAAGGGCAACTGCACAGACTGAAGGTGGCTTGTGCAAAACTCAGGTCGAGAAGCTTCTATTGAGATATTTTCCTTCGGCTAGAAAAATGTTCAGCTAAGTTATTCTTCACAGAAAATACTGAGGCTTAGTCAAATGCAAAATAAAGCCTGAAAAAATAAAGGCTTTGGGTTTTGTTTGCTAAAAGCAAAGAATACAATATTTTTTTAAAGGAAATAAAATAAAAGGTTATTTCTTTTAGGTGGACAAACCTTTAAAAAAAACCAAAAAAACCCATAAAAACCCAAAACAAGCAAGAAAAAAAAAAGAAGAGGACTTTTTTTTTTAAAATTTGGCATAATAAAATTCAGTGGACAAAAACAACCCCTTACAAATTGTTGTAAAATCTCCTGTGGAAGAAACAAAGCAGAATGGCTGTGAGGTGGCAGGGGTGGCACGGCTGCAGTGGCTGCATGTGGCAGCTGCTGCTGGGACAGGGGACACCCACACACGGGGCCCAAGGCAGCAAAGCCTGCACAGCTGCTGCTGCACTGGAGCCTCCCCATCACCTGTGAGCTCTGCTCTGCCAGCTGAGGAAAGGAACCCTGGCATTTCAGACCCACATCCAGCCTCACCTGCAGCTCCCAGAGGGTTTAGGGGAGCTGGAAACCCCACGAGGGAGAGCAGAGGAGTTACTTCAAGAAGCAGAGGAGGAGAGTTGCCATAATTTTGGTGGGGCTGAGCTGGGTGGCCCAAACTCTCTGGAGCCCCTGCAGCACTCAGAGCAGGGCATGAACTCCCAGTTCTCCGAATCTTTGGGAATCTGGCAATTCAGCTGTCCTGCTTGCTTCATGTCTGGCTCCAGCCTGGCTTTCTCAGCCAAGCCAAGAACCACTGTGTGCCCAAAGCAACTTCTTGGAGACAAATCACCCTCTCTGACTTGATCTCTCCTTCATCACTGCACTGAATGCCCCTGTTTTACATGAAAGAGAAGAAGACCTTGATGCCTTAAGTTTTAGTTTTCATATTTTCCAGATTCTCTACTGAATTGGTTCATAACTCTGGAGTTCATACAGAGTGTCAGCAGGATCTCCCCACAGCTCAGGCAGACACAACAATCCTTTCCCAGCCCCAGAACCAAGGACACCGCTGCAGCTCCAGGCCCAGCAAGTGCAAACAGCCCCGAACTGAGGAGAGCGACCTGGGAGGATGGGACTGCATCACCTGAAACTGGACAATTAACCCCAGTATGGAAATGGACCAAAACCTATAAAAGTGTGAAAACTCGTGACCTCTCTCCCATCTTGGGTGTAGCCTTGGCTGGGCTCTTGTACTGCCCAAGTTGTATCCTTCAAAGGCCTTTTAATAAAATGCTATTTTATTCCTTTACCTCTGTCCAGCCTCTGTTCCAGGTAGCCTCACAAAGCATCAACTTGACCTTTAGACTTCAGTCAAGGCTCACTGAAGTCTGACAGCAATTTTGACAAGCCTACAAGCACAAGTGTTATAATTATTTTCCCCTGGACACTCAAAGGCCGCCGTGAACAAATTGCTCATTTGCTCTGATGCCTCTCTTTTCCAATATGGATTTCAAGAAGCAGGTATAAAAACCTGGCAACTTGAGTGCCTTGCTCTTCCTCTTCTGTTTCTTTTGTGATGTTCTCTTCAGCTAGCTCCAAATCCACTTGGGCAGCTCATGGCTGGCAAGCTTGTCAAGCATATTCTCACAGATCTTAGTCTTCAATTCTTTCTGTGTCTTTTCCAACTGCAATGGACTTTCTGCTTCTCATTTTGTCACTGTCACTTGTGTCAGAGAAATATTGAGGCATTTCCCCTGTCTCCCTCAGAAGCCCACACCAGAATTTTCCTTTTTACCCTTCTGGTTTTTCATCTGCTTCAATCATTGCTTTATTATTTCCAAAGGCTCTTAGCTGGGAGTTCCCAAAGTTGGCTTTTCCAAAGGATCTCGTCTCTGACCAGTGACTTCCTTCTGATGCATCCTGAGCTCACCCCAAAAAGCCCAGAAAAGTCTTTTCCATCCACTGTACTGTCTGCAAGTGTTCACTGTGATCATCAGCCACTCTGAGTAAGGCTGAGTGACCCAAGGACTGCACACTGTGGGTTTGTGCCCTTTAGAGCAGCCAGGAAGAGCCTCAGAGGAGACCAGGACTGGCCAAACCCTCCTGCCCTCTCCAGACCATGGCCAACAAGAGCAAGGGTTGTTAAAGGAAGGAGACAACTTTATATGGATGCTGGATGATTGCCTCTGTGTTTGGGAATGCAGCAGTTGCATTTTAAATCTAAAGCCTGTTTTATTAGCTGAGCCAGCAAGCAATAAAACAATAAATCCATCAACAAAACACTGAGAAAGCAACCTAATCTGCCACTTCTCCACCTACAACTGAAGGAATTTTTAAGTCTCCTGAAATTAAATTTTAAAAAAAAGAAAAGTCACATTATTCCAGCAAGATGGGTCTGGTTCAGCAGCTTCAGCCAGCCACAGGTCAGCAGGTTCACAGGTAACACAAGAAACATCAAAATGTCAAACCACAAGGAATGTCTCTCCCTTCCCAGACAATTACCACAGCATTTGGACTGAAGTGATTTTTGCAGAAATTCTCATCTGTGCCCCTCATCCTGTGCAAGGGAGCTGATGGCCAGAGAGCCACTGCATTTTGCTTCATTGCTCTGATGGGCTATTCACATCCAGGAGCCCTGAAATGTCCTTAGAAAGCCTAAAGAGCACGTGAAAAATTGCCATGCTGCCAGAAATCACATCAGCCAGCAGCTGTAGCCTTTGGCTCATCTGTCCCAGGCGCCTGCAGTAGCTTATGCAGAACTGTCTTGCAGCCAAACCCCGAGCTCCCAATGTTTTCTCTTCACTTTGCTGGCACAATGGCACTGAAAGTGGAACACCCAGGACAGAAACCGTGGGGTTTTTTTTATTCTTTTAAAGTCACAGGAAGTCCTTTGAACTGCGCCAACACAATGGCAAGAAGCGTGAATCAGGCTAAACATACCTCTGCCAGGGCTAGCAAACCTCTTCATCTGCGTTCTCATGGTTACCAGGAGCTCAGCAAAGCCTTTGATGTGTCATTAGAGCCCCTGTCGTTACCTGCGTGCAGCTGCAGGATGAGCCAGGATCTCAGCCCAATTTCTGGGACGCAAATGTGATAATCCCTCGGTGTGTGAGCGCTACAAAAACATGACAGCACCCTGCACGGCGGGGCTGGCTTTGTTTATGCCAGGGATACTGCTGGAGTTTTGTCCTGATTTCTTCTCCAGGAGGTTCATTAACAACCGCAGTCAGGCCGAGCAGTGTTTACGGTTTAGGCTGTGGGAGAATCTAGGTTAGGTTTAATTGACGGGGTTTGAGCTTGAAAGCCAAATTGCTTCTAGGATCCTCGTGCTGGAACTGGAAGCACTGATTTCACTTTCCATCCTCCCCCAGCCCCTGGAGATTTCAGCCCATGATGGCACAAATGCAGTGAGATAAGGTGTTCTCTGAGGATTTCTCCCTCCTGGGACAGTTTCCTTAAAACAGTCTGCCTGCACAAAGCCAAGCCTGGAAAACAGATCATTTTTGTCCTTGGATCTGCTCTGGCAGGGAAAAGTTGGGGCAAACCTCATCTTGTTGCCTGCTTGTATCAGCCAGCCAAGCTCTGCTCTGCTGGGATCTGTGATGTTTTCTGGGATCAGCCCTGGTGTGGGACACACAGAGCCCATCCAGCCCAGGAGAGCTGGGGCTGAGCTGTCCCAGCTGCTGTTCCTGCAGACAGGCTGCACCTCCATCGTGGGGGAGGCTGCTGCACAGCCTGGAGCCATCACAACTTGCCTGAGGGCTAAAAAACCCAGCCAGTACAGACACCCAAAGCCTTTGCTGAGGGAGAGACACTGCAAAGCTCTGTGATTTCAAAAGGAAACCCAAACCCCTGAGTAGCACACCAGGTAGAGGACTTGTCCTGGGATTCCACAGCCCCTGTGGGTCTGCACGTGTCCTGGGCTCAGCTGTCCCTCCTGCTCTGCCTCACCTGAGGCTTCACAGACCCTGCTTCCAAGGACTGCACGTTGTCTTCAGCAGCAGAGGCTCTTGAAGCAGTCTTTGGGCATGCAGTGAATGTGTCAGCCTGACAAGTAAAGAAAACATCCTCCAAATGCATAACTTGAGCACATATTGTCTGGGAACCACTCTGACAATAACCACAAAGCCTCAACACGCCATTCTGTCAGGCCCTGTTAAAAGCAGAAGAGCTTTTTAAAGCCTTGATTCACAAAACTGAATGCCATCAGCACAGCATTAAACTTTCACTATTTTTATATGCTTCAAGGCTAGGAGGAACCAGACCATTATCTATGTGCCCCACACAATCCAAGGCTGAGAGTACACCCAGAGATGGCTGGCTACTTCTGCCTCTTCCTCATGGAAATCCATGCACAATTGCCAGGTTGTTGCACTCAGGTCTGACACCAGAGTTTAGAGACCACAGCTGGGCTTTTGTGAACTACTTGGATGCTGTAGGAGCTCCACAAAAAGAGACTGCAGAGGCAGGGCTACATAATAAAACTGCACTCCCCGTGCCCTCTGAGGCAGGGGCGATGCAGAGGGATCAGGAATCCAGGGGAGCAGAGAAATGCAGTTCAGGGCAGTGGTCACAAAGGTTGTTTTGTGACTCAGTGCCAAGGTCTGTCAGTGGTCAGGGGTGTGCACTGTGACATTGCACTGATCCATGGGGAGAATGTGCTGTGGCTGAAGGAAATCTCTGGATGCTCGGCTACAGCTGCTGTGCAGCTCCTGGGAGCTCAGGTCAGTGATGAAGAGGCTCTCTCCAGGAGCTATAAATATTGTCACACAGGTGTAATTTTGCTGGATGCATGTGCCAGACTTGCTGTTCCACCAGAGCAAGTTCATCTATAACTGTAAGCCTTGACTAAGAGAAGTTGGCTTTCCCAGCAGGATAAATAGCAAGAGACGTGCCTCTAATTGCACATCAGCAGAGCTGATCCCTCAAGGATATTGGCTGGTACAAGGGAAAAGGAGCAGGATATTCTCAGGAGTCAAACTGCATGGCCAGGCACCAATCTAGACTGAGCCTGCAAGGGATCACCTGGACACTGCTGCCAGGCCACTGGAAATCTGGTGGAAGCCCAAACTCTCTCCCCAGTCAGCAGGGCACTTTTTGCTGGATGTCAGCTGTGTGAGTTTGGCTTCAAGGTCCTGCTCCTTCCTTTAGGAAGGACACACATGCACATCCCTGGGCGTGGGGGAGGACAGCAAATGCATCACTTGGACAGAAAACAAGAGACTCCCTCCAGCTCTTCCCTGGGAGGAGGTTTCAAAGCAGTTAACAAGGGAGGGTGATACAACCATCATCATTTGACAGAGGAATTGCGGTGGGAGTGCCTTGGAGTGGCAAAGCCAGGTAGGATTTGGTAGCTGAGCCTGAGACTTGATCCTGGCCCTGCAGTCTGTGCCCTTGCATCTGCCTTTCTGACACCCCACTCAAAAGAGAGCCTGGTCCTGAGCAAGAGGAAGAAAGGGAATCATCAGATGCTCCAGGACAGATATTCCATCCTGGATGTGTTTAACTGCTTTGTCCCAGCATGCTGTGGTCATCTGTCAGCTCTAAGCACATGACCAGCTTCAGGACGTGCTGCCCAGAGCTTCTCCTGGGCTTCACACACTGGGTGAAGAAAAGATCTCTGTGCACAAGAGCTCCTGGTTCTGTGCAATTCAAAACGTGACAAAAGGTCTCATATCCAACCCTCAGCCTCTGAGTGGGCTCCTCGCCTCTGACAAAGCCTTAGGGATGTATTTAAGGGGGACAGGAGGACATGTAAGAGGAGGACCTTCATTCCCCAGTTCTTCAGCAGACAACTAAACTGAAGGATGGCTTGAGTTTATTTTAAAAAATCCCAAGACTCTCTTTTCTTCCAGAAGCTCATTCCCAAGAGTCTCATGATGCTGCTGCCATCCTGGCACCTGCCCAGCCCTGAATGGAAAAATAAATCCAACACTTTCTTAGTCACACAAAACTTGCTGAAGCTAATGGCTATTTGCTGAATAAAGAAGCAGCAAAATGATTTAAAAGCTCTGAAATCGAGTCTTTTTTTTTCTTTTTTTTTTTTTTCCTGTCTGATGCCAGCAGCTCCTGTAATACTTTACAGTCAGACAATGATACAAAGTGCAGGGAGTGTGAGTTGTCTACTTGCAGGTCAGAGAGCTGGGAGCAGAACAGAGCCCTTGAGTCAAGTTGGGCTTTTCCCTTCATTTACCCCATCTGCCTTAATGTGGGATCACTGATGTGTGGAGACCTAAACCCCCAGGGCACTGGCAGGATTAGCTCATATTTGAGAGCTGCTGCACAAAAGCAAGGCATTGTTTATCAATGTAGGCTGGAAAACTTGCTGACACCATGTAGATTCTCAGCCAGTTTAACTATGAAGAGATGAAATTCTGCCTGGTCCTCAAAAACAGAGGTGAAAGTGCAGCATCTCAGCACACAGAATCCACAATGAAGCCTGATATTAGTTAGGATTGGCTTGGAGGTGGAGACAGAGAAAATAATTTTATAAAACAAAGATTTACACCTTGCCAAAACCAACTAAATACCTTTCTTGTGCATTTATCAGCAGCTTGTTGTTTCATTTACAACTTATGGCTCCTGCAACCCTGGCTTCTCCAAATGACAGTTTTTAATTAGCTGCTTGTTGGGTTTTTTCCCCTAATGATGCGCATCGATCACATAGATTTGGATTTTTTTATTCCACAAAGTGGGAAAAAACAACCCCATTGTTGTCACAAGCAAGCTTGGTCTCATTAGATGTGTGAAATGGTTCTGCTCTAACATGCTGAACAAATTTAGATCTGTTCTCAAGCTGCTGGAGAATAACAAATTCTCCCAGTTTAATGTCCCCATATCAACATTATATACCTGGTTCATATCCCATCACAGGTCAGGAAGAGAATTAGGCCAGGTGGCACATCCACCTCACAAACTACAGATCCTGACACATGTACCTGGGCACATAAAAACAAAAAAAAATCAATGTGAACGATGAGGGAAAATCTCCCTGTAAAAATGTGCCAAGCTGAGGATCAGTGATGGTCCATAGGCAGGAAACAAGGAAAGCAGCAGGGTGGGACTCGAGTCTCTACCAAGAGTTAGTGGAAGCCTGCACAAACCCTGCTGTGCTGCACCCTGAGGTGCCTGTGTGTGCAGAGGATTCCCTGGAAGGAGAGCCAGCCTCACCTCATGGTGTACAGGAGGGTGCCGTTGTCCACCAGGCGCAGCAGCTTGTTGGGGGTTGTCATGTTGTGGGCAACAGATTTCTTCCCGTTGTGGAAGAAAGTGTCAGGAGTCCAGATCTTACTGGCCAGCAGGTTGTTCAGGGGAAGGATTTTCATGGGGCCATCAAACTTCAGCCTTTCATCTCTCCAGGACTGACGGAAAAAGACGTCAATGGTGTATTCCTTTGGGGAGAGAGGAGGGGAAAATAAATTATGTTTATATTCGGCACATTTTGGATAATGACTTACCCATGGTGTCAAAATGTGAGTGTCAGTGTTTCTGAGCACTGCAGAGAAGCTGCAGCACAGCCTACAGTGGCCAGAGCTGGGGTAGCCCTGCTGCACCACCACCTCTATCCAGATGTTTCAGGGGAGGAAAGCCATTATGTGCAGCTACACAGGTGTTTAGGAAGGCAAAAATAAAGATCCTGGAGATGGAATCAGGCCAGGATGCTGGTAATTATATCCCTGCTCATAAAAAAAAAAAAAACAAACCCACAACCAAAAAAACCTTGCACGACATTGTCTTAATGTTATTTTGTTCCCCAAGCCACCTTTAGAAAATCAATGAATTGAAGACTTTACAGACTTGCATTACAAGATCCTGTGACTTTCTTTTGTCTTCTTTTTCTTGTTTTATTTCCCATTTCTTCTTTTTTTTTTCTTTTTTTTTTCTTTCTGCCTGTGTAGAGACCTATTTCCTAGGCCAGATTCCAGCTGGGGCAGTTAGAAGTCACCTCCTTCAAACCTTGCAGCCAAGGCCAACTCCTCACTCCACGGATGCAGATTCAGAAACCACTTTTAGAGACAGAAAGGTCTTTGGGAAACCTGTCTGTCCCAACTATTCTGCCTTCCCCCTGCTGCTTCAGACTCGTAGTCTTTATTTATGTGTTCCTGGAGGCTGCAGGACCAACTAAACTTATCATTGTGAGTGATTTCTTTCCTGCAGCACTTCTCAGCAGCGCTTAAAAACTGCTGTGCATCCCTTTCCTATAGGACAGAGAAATTCCTGCAGGTTTTGCAGCAGATGGCAGCTGAATGGAAGCATCTCAGGAAATAAATCCATCCCTGCTCCCTGGCCATGGAGACACCCCTGCTCAAATATGAACCTTCTGGATCTTGGCTGGGGAAGGAAAGAGAAATTCTACATTTTCATGGGCTCTGCCCTGTACAAGGTATTTTGTCCCTTCATAGAAGTGATCTCTAACTCATTATTTCTTGGGATAAACCCAAAGAAATGATCCTGTGTGCAGTCCCAGGGGGTCTGGGAAAAGTCCTTATCAGGAGAAGAGCTCTCTTATTCCCTGTTCCTGTTTAAAAAGTGCCAGACAAAGAAGCAAAACATTTTTAATGACTTCCAAGGCCCTGCTTATCTTCTTTAATGCTTAGGAATCATTCCTGAAGAAAAGAGAAATCATGTTCAGAATCTTTCCCTCTTTTCTATGCTTCTTTCCATAAAAGCATTATTCCAAACTCACCCCTTCCAAGGAGCACACTTACTTCTGTGTTATGCTCTTCTCTGCCTACAGAAGTGACTGAAAACATCCAGACTGACTCTGTCCTCAGAGTCCATCCATGAAACAAGAAGAAATCCCCTTCAATTTTTGTTTTCCTTCGTACAATTTTCCAGGGACTGAGGCAAAATTGCAAGAGCTGAGTCCCGAAGACTGGGGTGAGCCTCAGGTCCGATCAGGCTCTGCTCTCCAAGCCAAAAGAGAGCTTAGGAGTCCCTTGGAGCTCCTCAGTGAAAAGGTCTCCACGTTCTCCTCCTCCTCCTCCTCCACACTTTGTGAGCAGCTGCTCTCCCCCACTCCCAGGGCAGCTTTACCTGCCTCTCCTCCACATCCATAATTCCAGCTCCGCGTGCGCTGGGATGCGCCGGAGCTTCCCGGGAGTGGCGGTGGGAGCGCTGGGAGCGCAGCACCGGCAGGGAACGAGGGACTTCCCTGCTCCTGAGATGAAAGGAAGCCCCAGAGCAGGCTCTCCCCACGCTTCCTGAGGAGATGGGGGTTTCTCTCCTTTACTTTTAGCAGCAGAGCTAAAATGCATTCGCTATGCATTTGTAAAATACATGGAACGAAAGCACGCGGAGGGGAAATAATTTATTATTCCTTAACTGTCTTCCTAATTTTAAATTCATTTTGTCAAATCACATTGCAGAGAATACCTTCCTCTTTTCAATACCTCATATTTTTTTTTTTCACAGTTCATTATACACACTCCCTTAATCAAATATGCTCCACCTTGGAAGTAATTATCAGATACTCCCCAAGGGCTACGATTGCTGAATATATTATGGGTCTCTGCTGTGGTAGGAAAGCAGGAGAGAGAGAGGGAGAACTCAGATGAGGTTCATAATCTTGATTACACTGACATCAACTTAACTTCTTAGCCTGGAGGGAGTGGTCTTCCCAAAGCAACATGAGTTTGAGTGATGGAGTGAGCAATTCCACGAAACACAGAGATTTTATTCTCCCCCAGCTCCTCTGCTTGCCAGCACAGGATTGCTGTGGGACAGCTGAAGAGATGTTCAGGCCATGCCAGCCCCAGAAAATTCAACCCTTGCAGTTCTGGGAGGGTTGTGAGAGCCACAAGACACTGCTCCAGCCTGGCCTAGCCAGTGACAACCTCCTCCCTCCCCAAAAATGGGTGCTCTCCATGGGCTATGCCAGCACCAGGTCACCTCAGGGGCTGGACATGCAGGAGGGGCTCAGTCCCGAATGCACTTCTGTCCTCATGTGGCATCCTGAAACTCTTGAGCAGCCGCCCACAGCCAACCCTCCTCTGGGTGCATGAGGAATACGAGCTGCAAGAAATGCTGTTGAGAAACCTCACTATTAATTATGCTCCACAGTCCTGTTTTAATTAGAAGACAAACTGTTGTGGGAATACAAGCCTAAATTCAGACCTCAGGCCTTTTCATTAATAATTTCCCCTGAACTTGTCAAAATAGTGCAATCAGTCCATGCTTGTTCTGTTTTCTCTTATGCCCCCTTCCCAGTTCAGGCACTAAGGACAGTTTGATGGTGAATCATTGTCTCTGACACTGCCACCTAACCAGAACAGATTCTGGCACCCTCCCCTCTTCCCAAGGAGCATCTTCATTCTTCCAGTTATCAACTGGTTTCCAAAAGCCCAAGCACACCTGGGAAACAACTCCTGTCTACCACTGGGAACGAGATCCCACCAGCTCTTGTCACTTAGGAAAATCCCACTTTTGTCCATATTGTCCTGGGATGGGGGTGGGACACATGCACAGCAGCTGAGGAGAAGCCACCCCTCCCCATGAGATGACCTACCATGTCTGTGTCCGAGACAGGGCCAAAACTCGTCACGTAAATGTCTGTCTTGACTTCGGTTACACTGTCTGGGACAATAAGAAGAAAAAAGAAAAAAAAAAAAGGGAAAGAAAGCAATTAGAGAGCTGAATTTCCTTGTGCAGGCAAGGGTTTGAGGTTTGTTATATGGTGTTTATTCCTGCTCTGCTGAACCCTCAGCACCGTGCTCTGTGCCCCAAACAACGGCTGATTTTATCACTCGTAATTGGGCACATTCATCTCCAGCGCAGCTCTGCTGCTTCCCACGCTTACACCGAGGACAAATCTGTCCCACACAGCCAGACAATGCATATTTACAGAATCTGTGTGGCTGCATGATCCATACCCTGCTACAGATCCACATGTTTTCAATACAGAGGCAAGCCGTGATGCTTTGAAACTCCTTTTTAATCTGAAATCCCTTTGTGTCTCCCAGCCAGATAAACAGCCTAGCAATGTTCCAGCAGTTTTAGGGA